TCTGGGATTTTTGCTCACCGTTCTTGTGATCATTTTGACCCCACGGGGTGAGATCTTGCGTGGAGCCCCAGATCGAGGGAGATTATCAGTGGTCTTGTATGTCTTCCATTTTCTAATAATTGCTCCCACAGTTGATTTCTTCACACCAAGCTGCTTACCTATTGCAGATTCAGTCTTCCCAGCCTGGTGCAGGTCTACAATTTTGTTTCTGGTGTCCTTTGACAGCTCTTTGGTCTTGACCATAGAGGAGTTTGGAGTGTGACTGTTTGAGGTTGTGGACAGGTGTCTTTTATACTGATAACGAGTTCAAACAGGTGCCATTAATACAGTTAACAAGTGGAGGACAGAGGAGGCTCTTAAAGAAGAAGTTACAGGTCTGTGAGAGCCAGAAATCTTGTTTGTTTGTAGGTGACCAAATACTTATTTTCTACCATAATTTGCAAATAAATTCTTTAAAAATCAGACAATGTAATTTTCTGCATCTTTTTTTTCTCATTCTGTCTCTCATAGTTGAAGTGTACCTAGGAGGAAAATTACAGGCCTCTCTCATCTTTTTAAGTGGGAGAACTTGCACAATTGGTGGCTGACTAAGTACTTTTTTCCCCACTGTATATGATATAATGTGGTGGGGACCTAAATGGCACCGAATGCTAGGAATGACCCCCTTATAATTACAAAGCTGTTGTTTAGCATGTTCACCATTTTAGTTTTGTACGTCAGTAAATGTTCTTTGTCATAGATATTTCAAACTATATATTTTTTCCTGACATTGCATTAGAGCCACGCTGCTAAAAAAGGTGGCGCTATATTCCTTACAAACAAATCTACTTTTAAGTTATAAGGATATTTATTAAATTAGTTTCTAGGAGAGTGGGTTGAAAAAGTGGTGTATATTCCCACAAATAACTTTCTGATTTGCTGAATTGGCATATACTGTACTATACTGTACGGTAATAAGGTAATGGAGAGGCCATAAAGATGGAAAACAAATTTAGATCATAGGGTCAAAATATGACAAAGCCTGGTCATAAATGATTGTGAGCAAAATACATGCTCATTAGAAGGACATTTTAGGGAAACACTAGTTCACCATTCAACCAAAGCGATGCTGTAAAATAAAATTTCCTCTTTCTGCCTCATTATAAGCAAACAGAATCTTGGCATGTGAGATGAGTTATGAACACACTCTTGAGAGAAATACAAAACAGCATGAGCCTTAGTCTGGCCAGGAGTGCTGTAGTTATAATATAAAACATTAACTTGGCTCCACTGCATCATCCCAACACATGTTAGTGTAGCTGCCAGGTGCCACATTTGAGTTAGAATAATTGTCAGACAAGTTCATAACATATGCTTAAATCCCATGTAATATTGTGGTCTTTTGTGGTAGACAGAGGTGATTTAATTTTCTCCAGTCTAATGTATGTTATTCATAGTGTTCCCACAACACATCTGAACTCAGTTTGACCTATTATTAAAGATGACATCTTTCTTCTAAATGAGCTGCTGTCGTCAAAGTCGATACAGAGTAGGATTTACAGAGGAAACCGTTTCTCTCCTCCTTTTTGTACATCCTTTAGAGAAATTGCATTCCTTTTCCTTGCACTCAGATCCTAATCCTTCTACCCCTCATTTACGAGTCTTGGACTACCGTTTTATCCTCCACTCCCACCACAGTACCACAGAGATATGCCTCTGTGACCCAACCGCCAACCATCCTGCTTAAAAAATCCAGCTGTTTCCCTTTGCCTTTTTAAGTCCCTCTTCGCTCCATTCATGAATAGGCATCCTCTTCGCTTTGAGAAACTGTCTGTGGGTGGATAGCATTTAAGACAATGAATTGTTTTCTCCAAGTCACTCAATGCACAGGACCCATATCCAGCTGTGTTTCCTCAAGCATGATACACTTCACTTGTTAAACACGGTCATTAGTTAGTCAACACTTCTTGGGCTGCCTGGCGAGGAATTAGTGATGACAGTCTCTCCTTCATGCTCCCTCCCACAAACCCAGAGCCTCCCACCATGAGTGTTTGCAGCTCTCTGCCTGCTCTGTTCATGGGAAAGTCCCGGTGCTGGTGAAGTTATGACCAGGGTGAAGGATTATGCTGGAATGGCTAAATATCATTAATACTTGCATAACTCTCAAAGAGCACTATAACTGCTTTCTGAAGTGAAATCAGTACATTTCTAAATGTCTTTACTGTGCGTTAAATACATTGTAAAGCCTGCAATATTTTTATTGTGTTCTTAAAACATTATAAAGGAGTCTTATAATAGTCTTTCCTGGAAAGCACGAGGGCTATTCCAAAGCCATTTTCTCTCTGTTGATACTTAAACACAGCTCATAATACAAGGGAAAATATGATCAGGGTTTGGAAATGAATTGAAATGCGTCTGAGGTGTTCTGTGGACATGAAATCACATGCTGCACTCCCAGAAGGGGAGTGTCTGTCTTTGTGACATTGAGACAACCCAGGACCTCTATAGATCAAACACAGTCTGCTCAAAATAAGCAATGTGGAGGTGACCCCTTCCACCATTTATGTAAGCAAAGCTGAGGAATGCTTGTTATCAAAATTACCTCCAATTTGCTCGAGTTCATTATTTCATTTAAAAACAACGTGTGATAAAAGCTTAAACCAGCCAGGAGTTGTTGCAGTTGCTTGACTTCATAAGGGTTGCATGCAGGATAATAGTTCATGTCGTAATGTGATACTTTTTTCTGTGAAGCTGCTGGGTTAAAATATCTTGTCTCTGCCCCACACACATTTCATGTACATACAGCACACCATACACACTGTATGTATTTAAAGTCACTGAAGCTCCGTACACACCAGTGTTTCTCCTTGGAGTTTCATTTCAGGAATGCAAATGCCTTGGGCCCAGACACTCAGTGATTTATCTCCTTATTTATCTTTGCACACATCTGCCTGTGCCCTTGTGTCTGCCTGTTGCTCATTCCTCCCTTCTTTCAGCCAGCATGTCTCCCATGGGACCCGGGAGTCCCCCACTTGCCCCTCTCTGCCCCTTACACACACGCCTTGCATGCATGCATATAGACAGGACATGCACGTGCAGACGGAGGGTGAGAACATTCAGCTGCGCTCACTTTTGTGCTGCTTTACCCTCACCTTGCTACTGTCAGTAATAATCCAGTCTGTCCACAGCCATGCCCAGAGGTCTCTGCACTTAGATCATTAACAATCTGCACGCTGTCTCTGCTTGGTTCACAACACTGTGCTGGTGCATTACTGGAAGCCATAGAAAGTGACCTGATACCCACACTTGCTTTCTGTCAACAAAGATTACACTCAGAAGAGCGCAATGGGAGTTCCGGGCAGACCAACCTGCTGCTTTATGTCTCATGCGGACAAATAGAGTATGAGCAGGACGGGGCTTTGTTTTTCTTGTCAGAAGCAGGTATGAATAACAGCAGGGCCTGCCACAACACCCCCCGAGTGAAGTTTCATATCTTCACAGCATTGCCATAAAGTAAACACCAGTATGTTTCCTGACATGTCTTGCTGCTCATTCAGACGTCCCCTGTCCTCTCGTGCAATGCCCTACACCTTTCTCTTAAAGTGCCCCACATTCTGCCTTGATTTCACATTTCCACGTGCAGGCTTGTCTCGGGCCCTGCAGAGAAACCACCGCCTGGTGTGAGGTCAGGTGTTATTTATCACAGCCGTCTGCGCGGGGAGTTGACATTCGTACAGGCATTCTGCTCTGCTATCGTAATTGACTCTCCTTGTCTTTTCGAGGACACCAACAGCTATAACTATGTCAGTGCGCCTCTCAGCTATATATTACCCATCTCACAGAGGAAGACAACTGGTGAGTTATCATTCTGCATCAGCTAAACACAAGATGGGCGACACGGCTGGCCACTGGGAAATGGCAGGATTTCTCAAAGCCAATAGAAATCTCAGCCAGATTCAATTTTAGCCTCTCTAGTAATCCTTGTTTTGTCCTTTCTTTTTTCTTTCCTTCTTTTTTCCCCCTTCTTTTGTGCTTTGTCCAAAATGGTCAAGTAATATAAGTAATAACATAATAGAAAACCCAGTACTTGGGATGAACTATGAGTGGGCTGTTTTCAAAAGAAATTGAAAAAGAAGTTGTGGAGAATCAAATATATGAATTGGGTGCTTATCAGGCTAGCCCAGTTGAATTATTATAGTCCCGGGTGCAGCCACTTTAAAAGAAAAAATAACCAACTTTTCTGATAGGAATGACATTTGTGGGGCAAAGGCGGCATGCCCATTTTCAGAGGTCATCGGGAGGCAAACACTTATTAATGTTTACCTGCATGACAATCAGGTAAACAGGTCATGGTAATGATTCATTCAAGGTTGGCAAGGTTATAGGCCATGTGTGCTCAAAAGCCTGTTGGGTCAAAGCAGGTTGAAGCTGGTGCTAAAAGAGTGAGTGTAATTGTTCTAGGACAGCAATCTTTGACCTGTGATGTGTGAATTTAGTAGACTGAAAGCTCTGGATCCTATTGGAAAACAGCAGAGGCACACACACACACACACACACACACACACACACACACACACACACACACACACACACACACACACACACACACACACACACACACACACACTCTCTGTTTTTTTGGATTTGACTGAAGAGAAAGTTGAATTTGTGTTGGTTTGTGCGACCAAGGATGGGAATAAAGTTTGTGTACTGTACACCAAAAAGCAGCTAGTTTGCTTTTTAGTGTCGGCAGTCTGCTGGGTAACACATTTTACATTTTCAAAACGTTCTGGCCACACAGATCTAAGAACTAGCATTTAAAGCACAGTTGCATCAGAACATCATCGTTTAAACTGTTATTTTGATGTGTTAGAACACAACTTTCTAAAGTGTTTTCAAACATGTCCAGACAGAAACTACTTTCTAACAGCGTTAACAATCTGCTACAGTACGGGGAGTTTAACTGCTTTATGATTCATATGGAAAAGGGAAGTCCTTCTGGGGGCTAAATCTGCCCCAGAGTTTGATTGACAGGTTTCAGGAGCCAAAGAAAACTGCATTAAAGAGTTGAACTCAACAAGGCAAAAGCAAACTCTACTTGTGGAATGTCTCACCTTCCAGAGGACATAAGTACAACTTCCTGGTATTCAAAACCAGTCTTGTGTTTGTGGCTCACACAGAGTATGTTTCAGTCAATATGGACAGTGAACCCATCACCAACAGAACAACAACTACCAGCACTGAAACATGCATATAAATAACATTTATAGCCAACACTGACCCATCCAGCCTCTCTACGGCAGCAGAGAGCCGCTGTCTGATTTGTCTGGACAGGTAAGAAATGACACGGTTAAGAACGAGTGTGTACAATTAAAACAGCTAACGGTGATCTCCTACATTCCTGAACTCCAGTGCAGCTACAGCAGGCTGTTTGACAATCATTCAGAGAGGAATCCAACCAGGAGAGGATCCAACATGTCTATGAGCCTCTTTGAACCACAATGCAGTGCAGCAACAACGATTTTGTAAGGGCTGTGACTCTGGAAAAAAATGATATATTCAAGTCTCGCTCAAGAGATGTTCAAAGAATGTAAGGATAATTCAGGTTTATCAAACCTTGATAAGAGTTCTGTACGGGCTAAACAAGCCCAATCTTTCAGATTCAACTAAACCCAACTACTACTGCCCAATTTAAAACCTAAACCTTAGGCACCCAAATTATCCAAACCCGTCTAAAAACCCTAAACCTTTTCAAAACTCAACGGGCAGCAGGACTCTACAACCAAGGTCTTACTTTCATCGTTTTTGCCATCATGTATCTATTTGAACCACGAACAGTCAGATGATCTGATGGCTCAGGAACAAACCAGAAGAATATCTGGATCAATATAATGCTTTTTTCCAGCAGCTTAGATCCATGCTGAATAACAGGGTGGCAGGAACCCTTCAATAGCATACTGAATTGTTCAAAGACTCAGCAGCTGAAGCCCTCGTGTATACAGAAATCTAGCAGAAGTCCAGTAGCTCACAGGTTAACCAGGAAGTGGATTGATTATGGGTGATCATTTTACGGTTCCCATCCTAATTCCCTCAAATTCAAGGACCCAACACGGCATTAGTTGAGACACGGATCAAGGTTCATCACTGCCCCAACTGAGATTTTAAAAAGTGAGAACTAGCAAGCCTCAGCTCAAACAAGTAAATATGGATATGAATATACCTCAACTTTCGCCTTTACATGTTTTACTGTTCCCTAGGAATGTTCTATACACCTGCCCTTCGCTGTTATTTACCTTTGTTTCTAAATCTCTGCATTAACTTGGTCAATTTATAAGTGATGGAAATGGATTGTGAAAATAAGACCACGTTGTAATAAACAAGAATGATCCTTTCAAAAGACGGGCTCAGGCTGATAAGCTAGTTGTCAGCAGTGTGAATAGTATGGGCCTCCACCACAAGCTGACGGATGCTAACCTGCATATGTTGGGACATTTGCACAATTAGCAAAAGTTGCATTCATTTGCATTCATTAGCATTATAGCCTATGTGGACAATAGTGAACAATGGCTTGGATCATTTTCAGGATCAAAAATGGCAGTTTCAACCAGAAATTGTCCCAAAATATATCAAAATCAGTCCACAGAGTACACATATTGGCATTTTGTGCAAATTGCCCAACATATGCAAGTTATCATCCTGCAGTTTCTATGTGCTGGAGACCCCTACTATACATTTTAACATAGAAGTTTGGGGTACTCATCATTTCTGGTTTCACTCGGATCCTACGAGCTGGCAAACGGACTACGAGGGGAAGATTCATATTTAAAATTGAATATTATGATCGTCACAAACAGAGGAGATCCATCAGTACGAGAGGATCTGAGGGGGAAGTGTCCTTCAGTGTTAGCGCTACATTAAGATCAGGGACAGAGACTACAGTAACACACAGTGCCAGGGTCCCAGCAACATGAACCCCCCCTTCTCAGAAGAGCTTCAGCTGACTCATATTTAATGAATATGCACCGACGTATCAGGAGGCCATAGACCACATATTTCCCGACTCTCCATGGCAGCTCAACCCTCACCTTAACTGTAAACTGGGGGGGGGGGCAGGAATCAGGAGAGGCAGAGGGAGCTGGGGGAGGAGGTGAGGGTGCACACGGGGGTGGGCAGGCCGTAGTAGGCGGGGTCAGTGAAGGGGAAGAGGAAGAGGAAGAAGAGGATCACCCCCATCAGGTAGGAGGAGAGGACGGTGAGGCGGTGAGGGTGCTCCATCGCCGTACTGATGGCGGGGAAACCCATGTAGTTACAGAAGGAGTGGCAGAGCACCGGGCCAATCAGGTGACCTACAACAGGAAGAGGAAATGTCAATGTGGAGATTCACTTCCTGAAGCGGGGGGGGAAGTAAGTGAACACTTTGGAATAATGTCTTCTAAAATATGGTCTGATCTTCACCTAAGTTACATGAATCAACAAACACCATCTGATTTTACTAATAGCACACAAAGTATGGTTTGCTCTTGTCCATACTGAATTTCAAAGAAGGTTGGAAAAGGTATGTAAACCCCTAGACTTCAACAAAAGCTAATCAAGTTTTAGCGTTAGCACATTGTGTTTGTCTGTCATTGTGACTTCAATGAAGACCAGGTCACATTTTAGGACAAATTCATGCATAAAACCAGTCAGTTTTATAGATCCTTGTTTCACAGTAGGAGTTATGAAATATACAAATGATCAGTATAGAGGTGAAGTAACCTTTTAATTCAGACTAACTGTAGCCATAGCTTTGGACTACTACGGGAGTCCATTTTTTTGTATCTATTATTTACATTTCATAATGCAGAGCACTTATGATTGTCTGCTTATAAAAGTACCATCGACCCAATATACCTAAAAGATATTTTTAAAAACTAATTTGAAACAAATGTTGATCGATACTCAATGTCATTCCTAATGATAAATGTCATGTCCCAAGACGGTCTTCATGCTTTTGCAGAATATTATCTTCCCTTGTATTAACAAGTGACTTAGTAATCCACGGGCCTGGGTGTGAAGAAGTAAAATATGAAGATCTGTATTGCCGTCCAAAAGTGTCATAAAGCCAGTAGGGTATAAATAAAGACACTTAAGAATATGGAGAATGTTGTTCTTAGGAACGGATGTGAAAGCTCCTGACCTGTTCTGATGAAGATGAAGGCGGTGTAGGCCCCGAACACGGCTGTGTAGGAGAACTGGAACACTGCAGAGGAACAGAAGCATGGGTCAGCATCAGTCATAGTATCATACACTGACAGGACATTACAGCAGAGGTGGAAGAAGTAAGACATAGTACTTAAGTAAAAGGAGAATCACTACAGTGTCAAAGTATAAGTATACTTAAGTTCCAAAAGCAAAAGTACTTATTGTACGTAATGTCTTCTTTCAGAATCGTATACATTAAATGACTGGGTTATTATTATTCATGCATTAATGTGTTCATCACAGCTGGTAAAGGTGCAGCTAGTTTAATAACTTTGTATACTGCTGCTGGATATCTTAACCTTTAATTATATGTCATAGTTGATATATTACTTTATTTATATATTATGTCTTTGTTTATAATCCGAATATGTAAAGTAACTAAATAAACGTAGTGGAGTAAAAAGTACAATGTTGGCTTCTAAAATGTAGTGGAGTAAAAGTATAAAGTAGCATAAAATAGAAATACTCAAGAAAAGTACAAGTACCTCAAAATTGTTCTTAAGTACATTACTTTAGTAAATATATAGATAGACAGACAGATCATTTATTTATCCCAAATTGGGAAATTATGTAGTTACAGCAGCAGTGTGTTCAGGCATTACAATCTAACCATCTTTATAGGTGAAAGAAACAGCTGCAAGTATATACACATATCTACAGTTGAAAGAACATGAACCACAAAGACTGCGATATATAAAATGTATAGATAAGTTAAGACATTTCTATAAAAGACCCATGTACAGTATTAAAGTAACGTAGATGTAAATGTACTATACAGTAATACAGTCCACCAGTGATTAAGCCCTAGAGCCCACCTGCAGAGAGGAAGATCCCGGACAGCGTCCCCTGTCTGAACCTCAGCAGCTCGATCACATGGTGGAAGTGAGCTGAGGAGAGACCGTAAAGATATAGGAAAGCAGCAACATGAGCATCAAATGGTTGGGTTTGTATAAGCCATGAATCTGCTGCGTTCATGTCCTTATTGGATTCAAAACTATACGTCAAAACAAATAAAAGAAACAACATCAACAAACAAATAAAGACACAACATCACAATAGGCGCGTTCACACCGGAGTACTTTTCCCCGTAACTGGAATTTTGCGTTGACACCAAAAAGAGAACTTAGTTCCGAGAACTTTTACCCCCATGTTTAGTGCCTGCTAGAGAGGTGGTACTTTCCTGGGGTGAAAAAAGTACCAATTTCGATTGGCTGGGCGAATTGCAAACCGCGCCCCGTAAAACTCTGAAAAGTTTTGTGAAGCCGCCATTGTATTTGCTGGCATTATTAGCGTTAGCCCAGCGCACAAACGCAGAGAGACTAACTTATGGCAACACAAAAGAAAACATGGGAGCTTGGAGATGAAAAGGTGTCGGGCGGTCTGGAGATTTACTCAGAAGGCTTCAGTAGAAGCTGCTGGGAGTCCCAGCAGCTTCTACTGAAGCCAGTCCCCAACTCCGGGGACTTCCGGCCGGGGACTTCGGGTGGCAGTAAACGCCGTGAAGTTGTTTGCGGCCTGCCAGTAAACCCAAAGCAGAAGAAGAAGAAGTGACGTCAGCGGCTCATTTGCGTAATCTTCCCTCAGGGAAAAGTACTCTGGTGTGAACGCGATTGGTACTTAGTGCCATGGGGTTATAAGTGCCGGGGCACTAAGTAAGGCAAAGTACTTGGTGTGAAAGCGGCTATAAGCATAAACACAACTTTTTATTTTGTATTTTCAGATTATAGATACAGTAGACAGTAGTGCTGTTAATCTGTCTGTATCTATCCCACAGAGGTCAAGTGATCAAGCTGTATCATCATGTATATCATTACAAGTATATCAGTCAGGTTATGTTGTGAAATGAAACAAACAAGAAACATGCACTTATGAGGGATTTCTGACGTTTGCATTGCCACAAACTGGATAATCCTGCTGTCAACAGTTTGTTAAACGCAAGAGCCACTTTCTGAGTTCGTCACTGTTTGGAGCAGATTAGTAGAGGGTAGTGGATCTCATATGGCCTGGTCAGAGGCCATCATTGAAGGGCTTAAGGGATTAATGTTGTCTCGCGCTCTCGTCTCTCCAATATTCAATCAAACTCTGTGCTGTGAGAGCGCATACAGAACAATTTGTACAAACATGTCTTATCACTGTAGTTTAACAATACCATCTATTTGCTCAAGTCTGTACAAGAACATATTATGTACTTGTACCAGATGGTTTGCTTAAGGATTTCCCTGACTGCTGTTTAGCACTAGTTTTACAACACAGTGTAATGCTGTGCAGTGTAAAGCTATGGCAATTGAGTGGTGATGTAGTAGTGTCCATGGGCTTGAGGAGGATGGGTCAAAGGCTAAATCCCCGCTTAAAGACACCGCAGTGAGCCTTTTCTATCAACAGACAGGCCATTTCAGTATGTGTTGGATAAGATGTAATTTCCCATCTGCTTTATGGCTATTTCTGATCCCTGGGCTCTTGTCAGCAAACTCCTCAGGACAGATATCATCAGTAATATAAGGAGGACTCTGGCAATACTTAGGGCCTTAAAAGGCCCTTCACTTCCCTCAGTCATGTGGATGGCTTAAGGAGTTTGAGAGCGCAGGTCACAAGTAAACGTTTCACAAACACTATCAAATAGCACAGATTTAAGTGGCTTAGGACAGCTTCCTCCCAGTGTGCGTGTGTGTGTGTGTGTGTGTGTGTGTGTGTGTGTGTGTGTGTGTGTGTGTGTGTGTGTGTGTGTGTGTGTGTGTGTGTGTGTGTGTGTGTGTGTGGGGGGGG